AGCCCATAAGGAATCATCAGGCTGGAGGGTCAATCTTCCAGCATGAAATGCTCTGTGTAAAGGGTCTGAGATTGTTCATTGAACTTATGCAAGGAGTTTGCTAGGAGAGAAGGCAGTGAGGGAGTGGGAGAGGCATGCTAGAAACATGGAGAAGCAAAGTTAGAGAAAGGGAGACCAGCGATCAGAGAAGCTACGACACATTTAGGGCTGTGACATCCCACACCTTGAGAATGCTGCAAAGAGCACTCCCTCCCATACTCCTTTTCCCTTCCCGGGGAAGAACATTTCATTCTTCTTGTTTCCCTTTGTTGGGATACATGAGGAAGTACAGAGGTACAGCTGACCCCCTTAGGAAGAAGGGCAGTACAGACACAGGGCCTGTCCTCTTCCATCTCAGAAAATGCTAGGTCTCACTACGACAGGGACAAGTCAACCTCAGGGGTCTTGTGGATCAGCGCTCCTCCCTTCATTTTCCATGCTCTTATCTGATGTCACAGCAGTCCTGGGAGGCAGCTGAGGAAATCCAGGCCCAGCGAGGTGTGTGCTTTCCCTAGTGGCTGAATTAGCCTGGAAATCAGCCTCAATCTGCTCTGCCCTCCACAGTGATGTCTCCAGTAATGAGAAATCAACCAAGGAACAATGACTGTACGCCAGTGTCTAAGAAGTCTTGGTCCAGAGGCTGAAGAACTGCATGATTTTTTAAAGCTTTCTATTTCTTTGAGATAACATTTTAATTTACATTATACCCAAAGGCTCCATGGCTGCACTAAATAAAGAGTTCAACAAATAAAAATAAAAAGACCATAGTGCAACAAGAAAATAGGCAAAGGCTATAAACAAAAATTCAATGAAAACATATAATCTCATTCATATAATTTTTTAAAAGATTTATTTATTTACTTGAAAGGCAGAGTTACAGAGAGGCAGAGAAAGACTGGTCTTCCATTTGCTGGTTCATTCCCTAAATGGCTGTAACAGCGAGAGTAGGCTGATCCAAAGCGAAGAGCCAGGAGCTTCTTCTGGGTTTCCCATGTGGGTGCGGGGGCCAAAGGACTTGGGCCATCTTCTACTGCCTTCCCAGGCCACAGCAGAGAGCTGGATCAGAAGAGGAGCCGCCGGGACTCAAACCAGCACTCATATGAGATGCTGCACTGCAGGTGCCAGCCAACACTCATGTAATTTTAAAAGTCACACAGTCATGAAAACTAGTAGGATATAATTCCTATTAATTTGTATAACAAAGATTTAATTACTGCACAGTTAAGCCACAGTGTTATCTTTACATGTAATGACATTTCATTATGGCTGCAGCTATCTCCTGGGAAGTTAATTACTGTAATAATTTTTTTTTTGACAGACAGAGTTAGTGAGAGAGAGAGAGAGAAAGGTCTTCCTTTCGTTGGTTCACCCCCCAGATGGCTGCTACAGCCGGCGCGCTGCGCTGATCCAAAGCCAGGAGCCAGGCATTTCCTCCTGATCTCCCATGTGTGTGTAGGGCCCAAGCACTTGGGCCATCCTCCACTGCACTCCTGGGCCAGAGCAGAGAGCTGGACTGGAAGAGGGGCAACCAGGACAGAATCCGGCGTCCCAACCGGGACTAGAACTGGGAGTACCGGTGCCGCAGGCAGAGAATTAGCCTAGTGAGCTGCAGCACCGGCCTGTAATAATTTTTAATAGCAATAACTGTAAGTTATTAATGGTAAATGTATCTGTTTGGAGCAGGGCATATATGCAGGTACTTTGAAAAATTCATGGAACTGTGTATTATGAAAAAACTATGCATGGATTTCAAAATTCTTTTTGCACAAAAATAAACATCTTTTAATTCCATTGGTCTTGAACTCTTTGAAGTAATCTCACACATGGGCCCAAGTGAAGGCCTGATGGCTTCTGAAATCATAAAGGACCATTTCTCATGAGCGATCCATAGGGAGCAGAATGCCTGAGTGAGGGATGGTAAACTTACATCACTGCTAGTACCGTGGCTGGAATTCTCGATGTTTGCAGGGAAGTTATTAAACTTATACAGTATATGGTATCTTACTGTATACTCAGCAGCAACTTTGACAAGGAATAAGAACTGAGTGTGGGGCCAGTGTTGTGGCTTGGCAGGTAAAGCCATCACCTGTGACACTGACATCCCATACGGTGCCAGTTCACGTCCTGGCTGCTGCACTTCTGATCCAGCTCCTTGCTATTGGCCTGGGAAAAGCAGCAGGTGATGACCCAAGTACCTGAGGCCTTGACACCCACATTGGAGGCCTAGATGAAGCTCCTGGCTCCTGACTTTGGCCTGGCCTAACCCTGGCCTTTGTAGCCACCTAGGGGGTAAACCAGTGGATGGAAGATCTCTGTCTCTCCTACTCTCTCTGTAACCTTTCAAAATAAATAAATAAATCTTAAAAAAAAAAAAAAAGAACTGAATGCAGTCATTGTACTACCAAGGCAAAGAACCAAAGGCCAGGAAGTCAGCCAGGATGAATCATGAGATTTACCCCAGCCCTGGGGGTAGACTGCAAGCACCCAGGAGTATTGGGCAACCTGGGTGGTGTGGGAGAGAGATTTCAGGAGAAAGGGCGGGGTGTGTTAAAACTCACTGGGACAGTATACAGGGAAACCAATGAAGTAAAAAAAGTAAAAGCATTAGCAACCTTTTGGGGATATTAACATGACTATTACCTTGAATTCTTCCAAAAACTTTCAATAGCCTGATGGAGGAATTGCAGCTCATAGGAGAGGAGTTGTGCAAATCTCCCTGCAAGGTTGTACTTGTCCTTGAGATACTACACTGGCACCCTCCTCTGTGATTGTATCTACTCACTACAGAGCATTTGGATAATAATCCACACAGAGTTCGGCAGGCATCTGTGCTAGGGGACTCCAGCAAGAAAGGCACTGACGTCCAATAGTCAGTCTAGAAGGCAAAGCTCCAAAGTGCAAGGGCACCATATCCCCAGTACCGGTCACCCTGGCCTCAAAGCTCAGGTGGTACTGGGTTTTAGAAATGAAGTCTATACTAACAATGATGAACTTAAGTATAAGGATTTAACTTCACAAGATTAGAGCCATTTTGGACATAACTGCCATCTTGTGTAACCCTGAGAGTCATACCAAACCTGATGGGATAAGCCAAGTCATAAAGATAAACCTGCAAGGGGACAGGGGAACACAGACATTGGTGTACATTCAATAAAACTTCATAGAAACAATAAGGTTCTTTCTCTTACACTTGGAGACATCATTCTGTTCTCTTCTGGCTTGCCACGCTGCTGCCAGTCCTACAGCGCTTCCTTCAAAGCTACTATTCCATGCCTATCTTCTCATCCCCTGGCCACTTTTAATACTTTGCCTTTGTCTTTGTTTTGCAGTTTCAGTATAATGAATCGATTTGCAAATTTCTTTGTAATCTATTCTGCTGGGACTTTGCTGAGTGTGTTTTATCTTTGGATTAGTGTTACAAATTAGTTCTGGGAAAATAAATCTATGCCATTACATCTAGGAGAGTGCCTCTGCCCAGTCCTTCTCTCTGGTATTCCAATCAAACAAATGCTTCTACTGGTTTTCCCTTGAGGAAGGAGTCTAAATACCAGATCTTTGGGTATTTACTCTGTCTCCTTTCTGAATATCTGAAGCTTATAAAATAGTGGTTAAGTGGTTAAAATCCCTCTTAAGATTTAAAAGGATATAACTCTATAAATATCTAGAAAGCTAAGATATCCCAACCTTCAAAACAAATAGCTACTGTCCCCTCTCCCGCCCCAATTTCCCAATATGTATTGAGAGTGTTTTCTGTTTATTTGCCTGCAGGATTGCACAGTTGCTAGAAGTTAAAAATGTTGCTTCTTTGTCTTTATGACTATTAGCCAAAGTTCCACTAATGGAAGCACTTATTGGAAATCTAAAAGGAATTGATGCAGGTGACTCCTTATCTCAGGTTACATCAGTTAAGTTGCTTCTAATACATTATTATTTGTTCTCCTCCTCCTCCTCCTCCTCCTCCCCCCCTTATCCTTCCTCCTGTTCTTCCTCCTCTTCTTCCTCTTCTGCAGTGGTTGGAACCATAAAAAGTCAGCAGATTTAAGTAGAAATTTGGTCACTCTACACACAAGGCAAACTAGAAGTCTTACCTCCAAAGAGGAATTGAATTCAGCGTTGGAGCAGTAAATTACTGCATTGTGTGAACTCCTGACAGCATGGAGAGAAGAGAGCAAGCTGGGAGAACCAGGTAGGCCACTCTGTGTAAGCTGGCTCTTCCCCCACTCCAGGAACTCCGATACCCTGATTTTATAAGATGACCTTTTTAGATCGAAGGAGGCTTCTCATAGAAGACAAATTTGATGGCATTACTGCTAACACCAGGCACACTGTAAGTGGTACCAACTATTCACTCTGTGAGATGGCACGGACTTTGTGGAGTTCTACAAGACAAAGCCCAAGTACTTGTCCTGGCTGAAGCTCTAGGAAAGTGGAGGCAAGAGTTCATTTACACACCAAAGTGGAAGGGCTTCCAGTTCCCCATTCTCCAAGCCAAAGCTTCTCAGCTATGTTCTCCATCTCCCACCACTCAGTGGCTGCCTGTGTGGGACGCTGAGAACACAGGAAAGGGCAAAGCAGGGAGGTGGCGTTGAGGTTGTATAGGATTTGTACTTTAATTCCTGATCTGGCACAACCTAGCTGAGTGACACGGTACTGTTCATTGTCAGCTTCATCAACTGTCAAATTGTAGATAACATCAGAAATCACTTTGTATATGAACATATGTTCTTTATAATTAACAAGCATTCATGTTAAAACACATCGAATTCAGTTTGAAGAACTTAATTATGTATTGTTAAATAATTTCATTTTTCTCTCTAGGAATAAAAGAGTTTTGAACTGCATATACCAAAATCCTAATGCAATTTTTAAACTGATTTGCTTTCCCTGGGCAGGAGGTGGCTCCACTTATTTTGCCAAATGGGGCCAAAAAATTCATGACTCACTGGAAGGTACGTTAATTTTCATCACCATCTAAGCAATTTATAAAGTCAGATGACTCAGGCCAGCATGTGGCACAATGGGTTAAGCTGTAGCCTATGACTCTAGCATCCCATATGGGAGCACTGGTTCAAGTTCCAGCTGCTCTACTTCTGATCCAGCTCCCTGCTAATGTGCCTGGGAAGGCAGTGGAAGATGCCAAGTACTCTGAGCTCCTGCCACTGACATAGGATACATACTTGGATGGAGTTCTTGACTCCTTGCTTTAGCCTGACCCAGCCTGGCTGCTGTAGCCACTTGAGAAGTGAGCCAGCAGATTCTGCCTCTCCCTTTCTCTCTCTGTTGCTCTGCCTTCCAAATCAATCAATCAATTTTTAGAGCAAATAAGGTCAGATTACATAAACATACAGGAATCTGAAGCATGGTAAACATTTCCCTAATTTATAGGTAATTTATAAGCATTCAAAATTTCACTCAAATAGGGTGATTTTTACATTTCTAAAGAAATTCTATTGCCTTTATTTGGTTATTATTGTTAGAACTAAGAGGATTTTTAAAAATTAAACATTTATTTATTTGAAAGGCAGTTACAGAGAGTCAGAGGCAGAGAGAGAAAGAGAGAGGTCTTCTATCTGCTGGTTCACTCCCATGTGGGTGCAGGGGCCCAAGCACTTGGGCCATCTTCTACTGCTTTCCCAGGCCACAGTAGAGAGCTGGATCAGAAATGGAGCAGTCAGGTTGTGAATTGGTGCCCATATGGGATGCCGGCACCACAGGCTGGGGCTTTAACCTGCTGAGCCTCAGCACCAAGCCCTGTTTTCTGTTTTTAGTTTTAAAATAAGATTCTGTGTATCTCCACTATTGCCTTATTAGTTGCAGTTCTTTTTTTTTAATAGTGCTTGACAATGCATCTTTAACTCCTCATAATCTATCTTTAAATCAAATCTTGAAGATAGCATTGTGGTGCAATGGGTTAGGCCACCACTTACTACCTGGGCATCCCATATGGGAAGGCCAGTTTGTGCCCCTGTTGCTCTGCTTCTCATCTGTCTTCCTGCTGATGCACCTGGGAAGGCAGTGGAAGATGTCGAGATTACTTGGGCCTTGGTCACTCATGTGGGAGACCAATATGGAGTTTCAGGCTCCTGGCTTCAGCCTAGCCCAGCCCTGGTTGTTATGGCCATTTATTTGGAGGTTGAACCAGCAGATGGAAAATTGATCTCCTCTCTCTCTCCCTCCCTCTCTCTCCCTCCCTCCCTTCCTCTCTCCTTCTCTCTCTCTTTCTCCCTATCTGCCTTTCAAATAAAATAAAATAAATCGTCTTTAAAAATTTCAAAATCTTACAATATCACACTTGTAGTTCCCTCCCATTCTTTTGCTACTGTTGTCATACTTTTTTTAAAAAAAGATTTATTTATTTGATAGGTAGAGTTACAGAAAGAGAAAAAGGTCTTCCATCCACTGGGTCACTCCCCAAATGGCCGTAACGGCTGGAGGTGGGCCGATCCAAAGTCAGGAACCAGCAGCTTCTGGATCTCCCATGTGGGTGCTGGGGCCTAAGGATTTGGGCCCTCCTCCACTGCCTTCCCAGGCCATAGCAGAGAGCTGGAGCAGAAGAGGATCAGCCACAACATGAACCGGTGCCCACACGGGATGCTGGCATTGCAGGTGGCAGCTTTACCCGCTATGCCACAGTGCCGGCCCCCATACACTTTACTTCTACAGCTCATTTGTATTATTTTTGCTTTGAATAGTTATACAATTTTTTAAATGAGAAAAACATACTTATCCACATTTCTATTAAGCTTTGGCATTTTCTTCCTTTGTGTAGTCTGAATTTGTGTTTGGAATCATTTTCCTTCAGCCTGAGGAAGCAATTTTTATAGTGCATGCATGCTAGCAGGCATATTCCCTCAACAGGCTACACTTGCCTATATTTTGCCTTCGCTTTTTAAAATTTTCTGTTTATTTTCAATGTGGGTGAAAGGCCAAGAGAGAAGAAGAATACAAATCTCCCATCTGCTGGTTAACTGCCCACAACTGCCCAGGCTGGACCAGGCCAAAACGGGGAGTCAGCAACTCAGTCTGTGTCTCCCACATGAGTGGTAGGGGCTTGACCACTTGAGTCATCACCTGCTGCCTCCCAGGCCATTTATGATCAGGGGGCTGGAATCGCGAGTGGCAGCAGCGCCAGAAGCCAGGCACCAATATGGAATGCAGGCATCCCGAGCGGTGGCTTAGCCACTACACCATATGTGTGCCTTGTGTCTCACCTTGCAAGATACACAGGCGTCTTCTGAACATACAATACACTCTACAGGTAATATTCCCTTGTTCTCTGACTTGAATTGTTTTTTATGAACAGTCAACAATAATTATTAATGTTATATACAATTGTCTGATTTTTAACTGTCTTGTCACTACCTTTTTAAAAAATCTGATGTACCTTTATCAAGCTTGGAGTTCCTTTTACTTCTTAGATGCTTAGGTTTATAATTTTGTATTAAATTTCAAATTTTTCAGTCCATATGTCTTCAGATTTTCTTTCTGCTACTCTCCTTCCTCTGCTTCTTGGATTCTAATTAAATACATATTATATTGCTTGACATGGTTCCATAGGTCACTGAGCTTGGTTTTTCTTTTTTTTTTTTTTTAAGATTTTTAAATTTATTTGAAAGGCAGAGTTGGAGAGAGAGAGACAGACAGACAGATCTTCCATCAGCTGGCTCACTCCCCAAATGGCTGGAGCTGAGCTGATCTGAAGCCAGGACCTCCCACATGGGTGCAGGCACTGGAGCACTAGGGCCATCTTCCACTGCTTTCCTAGGCATAATAGCAGGGAGCTGATCAGAAGTGGAGCAGCCAGGACTTGAACTGGCGCCCATATGGGATGCTAACACCACAGGTAGTGGCATCACCCACCACGCCACAGTGCTGGCTCCACTTGTCTCATTTTTTAAGACCTTTTCCTCTGTGCTTCCATTTGAATCTACTGTCTGTTCTTCCTATGATCTTCCTTATTGGTGGAGTGTAGACTTGAATTTTTCTTTGCAGGATTATAAAACTAAAGAAAAGGCCACACCTCTTTTTGTGAATTTTCTTAATCTCTGCCTCACTTAAGGATGAATCCACAGAGAGCCATGCAGTCCAAGCGCGAATGTGAGCAATGGTGTGAGAGGGTGAATCCAGAGAACAAGGCGGCCCTAGAGGCATGGGTCAGGGAGACGGGCATCCGGCTGGTGCAGGTGAATGGGCAGAGGAAGTATGGCGGGCCACCCCCAGGCTGGGTGGGCTGCCCACCGCCGGCCGGGTCCGAGGTGTTTACAGGGCAGCTGCCCCAGGACGTGTTCGAGCACCAGCTGATTTTGTTCCAGAGCGTGGGCCACCTCTACGAATTCCGCCTAATGATGACCTTCAGGGGCCTGAACCGCGAGTTGTCCTACGCCTGCTACAGCTCACAGCGCGGCGCACAGGCCGCCATTGCCACGCTGCACAGCCACCCGCTGCGGCCTTCCTGCCCGCTGCTGGGGTGCCGCAGCACGGAGAAGTGCGAGCTGAGTGTGGACTGTTTGCCGCCGTGTCTGAGCCAACACGCGCTGCTGCTCGCGCTGCAGCCACTGGGCCCCGGCCTGCAAGAGGCGCTGCTGCTGCCCAGCCCCGGGCCGGGGCTCAGGCAGATCGCACTGCTCAAGTTCAGCTCGCACCGCGCTGCTGCTATGGCCAAAAAGGCCCTGGTGGAAGGGCAGTCCCGCCTCTGCGGAGAGCAGATGGCTGTGGAGTGGCTCAAGCCAGACCTGAGACAGCGACTGTGCCAGCAGCTTGTGGGTTCCTCATTGCGGTACCTTCAGCCTGAGGGCAACCGATTGGCCCTGGCCAGGGACAAGCTAGGGTCTCAAGGAGCTCAGGCTGCCCTGCAGCTGCTGTGCCAACGAATGAAACTGGGCAGCCCAGTATTCCTCACCAAGTGTTTGGGCAGGGGCCCTGCTGGCTGGCACCGCTTCAGGTACCAGGTGGTGATCCCTGGGCATCCAGTGCCCTTCAGTGGCCTCATCTGGGTTGTGCTACCCACAGGTGGGCAGGATGGGCATGAGACAGCCAAGGATGCCGTGTCTGCACAGCTGCTAGAGGCCCTGGGTGAGTCTGGGGCCAGCCTCCTGTGGTCTGCTGGGGCTGAGGCAGGTACCATAGTTAAGCAGTCATACACACACACACACACACACACACACCCCGTCCTCTCAACAGAGGCAGCCTACAACGGTTGGCAGAGCCTGTGTCAGTCCCCAGCCCAGCAGGCCTGGGCAGCCGACTAGCTGATTTAAGAAAGGGAAAGGCACCTTGGCCTGATAGCCTCCCTGTTGGGACATAGCCCAGTGTATCTAGGGCAGCTCAGGTTTGGCTTGAGTTACGCTGCTGGGCCTTGTCCTCTCCCCTCTGAGTCCCCACCTAACCCATGGTCTTCCCTTTGTGACACCCACCCTGCCCTTCCCTGCCACTCCTTCCTGCCCTCTGCACATGAATCTGTTCGATTTGACTTCTGTTTTTTTACTTGGGGGGACCGGCTGAACCAAAGGGTCAAATTCTGCCCTTCATCCCTAGCACCTGGCACTATGGTTTTGGTTAATGTATCGTTTCGACGTTTTCTATGATGGTTGTATTTATATTAAACCCAAATTAAAAAAAAAAAAAAAAAGAATGAGTCCAAAGCCTTGAAGGGAGAGACGCTGTACCTTTTCCTCCTGCCTAGAGTCCTGGCTGGACTTCCTGGCTGCCTCTGTAGCACTGTGTTCTGATTTTTGTCTCCTTGTGCCTTGAGAGGATGCAGAAAACGGCTAGCTGCTTGGTTTGCAGAAGTTGCCCTTCCCTGGAGCCTAGGACGCTTTACCTGCACCCAATTATTCACACGTCTCGGTAGAGGGAGGAGGCTGAGCAGGATCAGCTCCTTCTCCAGAGGTCTGCTCTTCAGGCTAGGCCCAGCTGCCGCCTCAGCTCCCTGACACCTCCAAACAGATTTACATCTTTGTGTCTAATGCACTCCGCTGTTTTTGCCAGGAGAGTGTTGGTCTATGACAAGCTACTTCTTGGTCACGTGTGGAAATCTAGGTATGTGAGTAGAGGGTACTGCATCAACGATAGGGTACCAACTCCCAGCCTTCAAATGTCAGTATTGTGACACACTTGCTTCATATTCTTTCTTACTCTTGACTAAGTAATGTCTCTAGGTCTTTTTTAAAGGATGTTTAAGGTTTTCAGAAAAATTGTGTAGTCAGTAGAGAATACTCATTTACTGCATACCCAGTCTCTTATCAGTGGCATCTTACACCACAGGGTATACACGTCACCACTAAGAAACCAAAATCGGTGCATTACTGATAACTGAACTCCACTGTTCACTTGGATTTCACTCGTTTTCCCCGATGCACTTTTGGTTTCATCTGAGTCTACATTACTTAGTGGTGAACCTCCTTAACCTTCTCAAGTCTGCGACAGTTTCTCAGACTTCCCTTGTTCTTGATGACCATATTTGGAGTAGTTCAGGTCAGGTACTCTGTAAGACGCATCTCATTTGGATTTCCTGATGTTTTCATCCTGGCTAGACTGGGGTCCTGGGCTTCTGGGAAGAAGAGCCCAGGGTGAAGTGCCATTCTCAACATTTTATATCTGGGTCAATATGGCCTATCACATATGATAACCTTGATCACCGGGCCAAGGTAGGGCCAAATGTCTCCACTGCAGAGTTGCCTTTTCCCTGTGTCTTTCCCACACCCTTTGGAATCAAGTCATTCCACAGAGAGGAGGTTAAGATCCATCTCCTTAAGCCTGGAATAGTCATAAATTATTTGGAGTTCTGCTTCAGGTGTTTTCACAAACAAAGCAAAACAAATTCATTTGAAGGTCCTAATGTGTCCGTTCTAATTTCATTCTTTTATTTCCAGTTAGGTAATTTTTATGAGGCATCTTCAAAAAGTTCATGGAGAATACCTATCATGAAAAAACTATGAATGGATTTCAAATTTTGGTAGCAAATAAGCTTACTTTTCATTTCATATTTCTATGAATTATTTGATGTATGCTTGTTCAATACAAGGTGTGTACTTTTCAGGTTAAATATTGAAAGAAATGGGAGATGAAACTTATCTAAAATTATATTTACTAGCTCTGATAGGCTAGAAGTCACCTTGTAAAATTATGTATTGACTTGTAGCCTTATATATGATTCATGAGCCTGAGAGGGAGAGAGACAGAAATGGATAGAGTTTTCATCCTCTCATTTACTCCTTACATGCCCACAAGGTTCCGGGCTGGGCCTGGGGCTAAAGACGGGAGCCAAGAATGCAATCCAGGTCCCCCACAAAGGTGGCAATTACTTGAGCCATTACGGCTGCCTCCCAGAATCTGCAATAGTAGGAAGCAGGAAGCAGGAGCCAGGAGCCAGCGCCAGGTATTGAACCCATGGACTCTGACGTGGGATATGGGCATCTTAACCACTAGGCTAAATAAGCATCCACCCTGTCGCTTAGTTTTACTTTCTTCAAAGTCAGTCGAACATTTGCTAAGTGCTCGATTCCCAACCCCTCTTCCAGTGCCCCTCTGGCAGTTCTAATAGTTCAGCTCCAGTTGCAATGGCAGCCACCTTCCTGTTATGACTTATCTGAAAATCAGTTCTAGGAACTTAAACTACAGCAAAGTATGCTGATGTGTACGTACAAAGCACTTCACTGCAGCATTGTTTTAGGGACCAAAAAAAAAAAAAATCCCTGCAGCAAGCAATAACCAAAACCAAAAACCAAACCAAACCAAAACAAAACAAAACAAAAAAAGACACTCTGGGAATATAATATCCACTAATGTAAAATTAGTTAAATAAATTATGGGACATAGCTACAGTTAGATATGATGCCACTGTTAAAAAGAATGATTTAAAAAAATCAAAGGATGATTAGTGTCTATATGTACAGATATAGAGCAACACCTGTTATATAATTATGTAGGGAAAAACAAAACCAGTTGTAGAATGGTGTTATGGTCTACTGTCATTTGTGTAAAAATTTAAAAGGATTTATACTCACATAAATTCATGAATTGGAAGAATACACCAAGACAGAATGATGTAGAAGATACAGAGACATAGGAGACGACATAAAACTGACGACTGTGGTTTCCTTTGTGGTTAGGATCTAGGATGGGCGAGGTATGATGTTTCACCTTCAGTTTCACCCATTTTCTTCCTTGTCATGTGCATGTCTCATGTGGAAATGGAAACAGAAGTTTTCTGTACTCCACTCTGAGGAAGTAATGAAGACAGAATTTCTCCAGGCCCCACCACAAGGCAGAGATGTTTGAAACTGAATCACTATTACTGTGTTGGTAGTGAAGGCTGAGCTGACTGAGCTTACCCACTAGTGTCACACAGACACTCAGGTACAACTGTCAGCATCACCTTTTCGTGTTTTTAAAAAGCTTTTATTCACCTATTGGATGTTTAAAAGAGATTTATTTATTTATCTGAAAGGCAGAGTGAGAGCGGGGAGGAAACAGACAGATCTTCCACTTGATGGTTCACTCTGCAGCTGGCCACCAGTGGCTGGGCAGGACTCAGACGAGGTCTCCCACATGGATGGCAGGGACCTGACTGTTCGAGCCATCACCTGCTGCCTCCCATGATCGCATTAGGAAGAAGCTGAGTTAGGGAGAAGAGCCAGCACCAGGTCACAGGTACCCTAAATTGTGATGCAGGCACCCTAACCAGCAGCTTAACTGCTAGGCCAAACACCCAACTCCCAACATTACTTGTTACAGCAGCCTCCACAATCTACTCACCCCTAAGGAAGCGTGTTCTTTAATTCCAGGCTTTTTCCCCATCTTTCACATTCAGGGATGATTATCGTATGTACTTTCTAAGAAATTTTAGTTTTTCTTTTTCTATTTAAGTAGAATTGATATTATGGAGAATTATAAGTAGCATTATTATGTCCTTTGAACACTTATAAAATATTTCCTATGAAATAATCTGGGTTTGTGTTATGTTTAAATTTTCTATTTTTACTGGAATTAATTTTGGTGAAATATATCTTTTAAAGATATAAGGATGCTTCAAAAAGTTTGTGGAAAATAGAATTAAGGTGATGTGAGCAAAGAGATACTGCTCTCCCCTGTTTATAGCAGCTGTGCTCACAATAGCCAAAATATGGAGTTAACCATGGTGTTCATCATCAGATGAATAGAGTAAGTATGCATATATACATACACACACACACTGGACTAGTATTCAGCTATAAAAAAATAATAAAATTCTACCATTTGCAGCAGAATAGTTGGAACTGAAGGACATTATGTTAACTGAAATAAGCCAGATACAGAAAGACAAATATTGCATGTTCTCCCTTATATGCGGAAGATAAAATTGAAGGAAAGAGAAAGAGAGAAACACGAGGCTGGGGGGGGGCGGGTTGAGAAGGGAGGGAGAGAAAGCAGGCCAAGTGGGGTAGGTATTTCATTAAGATACCACTTGGGATGCCCACATCCCATATCAGAGTGCCTTGGTTCAAGTCCTGGCTCTGCTCCTGATTCCAGCTTCCTGCCAATGCAAACCTTGAGAGGCAGCAGTCATGGCTCAAGTTATTAGACCCCTGCCCCCACACAAGAGACCATGACTGACTTCTAGGAATCTTGCTTCTCAGATTGACCCAGCCCTAGCTGTTGAAAGCATCTGAAGACAGAACCAGCAGATGGAAGATATTTATTTATTTTTTTTCTCTCTCTCTGCCTTTCAAATAAAATGAAAATACATGTAATTTATTTTTTTAATATTTATTTACTTGAAAATCAGAGTTACACACAGAGAGAAAGAGAGGCAGAGAGAGAGAGGAAGGTCTTCCATCCGCTGGTTCACTCCCCAGATGGCTGCAATGGCTGGAGCTGCGCAGATCCGAAGCTAGGAGCCAGGAGCTTCTTCCCAGTCTCCCACATGGGTGCAGGGGCCCAAGGACTTGGGCCATCTTCTACTGCCCCCCCCCCAGGCCATAGCAGAGAGCTGGATGGGAAGTGGAGCAGCTGGGACCCAAGCTGGCGTCCATATGGGATACTGGCAGTGCAGGAGTGGGCTTGACCCACTACGTCACAGCGCTGGCCCCCATACAATTTATTTTTAAAATATTTAAAAAAGAAGAGACTGCTGCATTATTGGGTGAATGAAATTTGTAACTGTTCTATGTTCATTGGGAATCATGGTCTTTAGCACTATAAAGTGCCCTTGATCTTGCTGGATGTTTTTGTCTCCAATTCTACCCATCAGAAATTACAATACAACCCCTGATATGTTTTTCTGCCTATTCTATTTCCTGGTGTATCTTTTCAATCTTTTTCACTTTGTTTTGGGTGTGTCTCTATAGACAGGAAAGAATTTGATTTTGCTTTGTGCAGCAATCTAAAACTCTTTATTTGAATAGGTGAATTAAGTCCACTTACATGTATTAAGATGAATTTGAGTGGTCTCGCTTTCATT